AACCAGCAAAAACACAATGTAAAGTTACCTGAATGTCTGGAAAAGTACTGATGTTAGCTGTACCTTGCCTAAGTCCCTCCCAGCTTGGTGTGAAGCTCCTCCCCTGAATAAAGCAGAGGCCCGGGCCTCCCCAGGTGTGCATTGCTGGTTGGCAGGCACAGAGTAAAGATAGCAGGGCATTACGACTGGCAAGGCATGTGCTTCAGCATGCAAGGTGCACAGTCCAGCCTTGCAACCATACTGCCTGTTTAGCTAACATGTTCACTATGCAGGATATTACGGCCTTTGTGGCTGAGATGTTTGCAATGCAGGATCTGCCTGATGCCAGTCCAGCATTCACTCTGGTTTCGGAGTGTCTCTTTGTCTCCTTTTGTGTATTCTGGATATATATGAATCGCAGTCAGGTATCCTCTCCTCGTGAACTGAACCCCAATGTCGAGGCGGGTCCCCGACACCAAACGGCAGTGCAAAACGGCCATAGCTGGCACTGAACTGTTTATCGCTAGGAAAAAGGCCTGAATGGAGGTTGTGGAGCAGGACAAGCAGACTGAAAAAGAAACAGACCAGAAAGAGGTCCAAATGATTAATAACAGAATATCACAAATGGACAATACATTGAAAGGACAAAGGAGTAGAATTGAAGAGATAGAAGCCGGAACTAGTGAGCTAGAAGATAAATCTCTCAACACTACTAAGACCAACTGGACCTCATAGATATATACACAGCATTCACCCAACAACTGCACAATACACATTCTTTTCCAGTGCACATGGAACATTCTCCAAAATAGACCATGTTTTAGGCCACAAATAAAATCTCCATAAATTTACAAATATCAAAATACTACAAAGCATCTTCTCAGACCACAATACTGTCAAATTAGAAATCAACAATAGGAAGAACAAGGAAATCAAATCAAATACATGGAAACTGAATAACACCCTGCTGAAAAGCAACTGGATAGTAGTAGAAATTAAACGTGAATTCACAAAGTTCCTAGAAACAAATGAGAACAAAAACACAACATACCAAAATCTTTGGGACACGGTGAAATCGGTGCTGAGGACAAAGTATTGCAATAAACGCCCACATCCAAAAAGAAGAACCAAAATTAACACATTAACACAGCATCTACAACAATTAAAAACAGACCAACAGAGGGAACCTACAGTCAACAAAAGAAAAGAAATAATAAAGATTAGAGCAGAAATAAATGAGAAAGAAAACAGAAAAACTATAGAAACAATCAACAGAACAAGAAGATGGTTCTTTGAAAGGATTAACAAAAACAGACCATTGGCAAACCTAACAAAAGAAAAGAGGGAGAAGACACAAAAAACACGCATTAGAAACTACATGGGCGATGTCACAATGGAACCCAAGGAAATCAAAACAATAACAAAATATTATGAAGAGTTGTACTCAACACTACCAAGACAGAAAAGCAAACACAAAAAAGGATTTTAAAAATCTGAAGAACGCCTAAGATTCATGTTGAACAACTCATGTTGAACAGCATGAAGAGGAATAGCTTAAGAAGTATTGATTGGCATTCCAGAACAGGAACAATCACACAAGTCCAGAGTAGGCAGTTGAAGAACTTCTGGAAGAAAATTTCCCTAACATCCTGAAAACTCATTCAGGAAACTCAATGAACCCCAGGAAGGATAGATCCTAAAAGACAATCACCAAGACATATAATAATAATCAAGCTCTCCAAAATCAAAGATAAGGACAGAATCCTGAAAGCAGCTAGGGAAAAGAGAAGTGTAACATACAAAGGCAAGCAAATCAGATTAAGCTCGGATCTCTCAATAGAAACCATGCAGGCAAGAAAGAAGGCAATGGGGTGACATATATAAAACCCTGAAAGAAAAAAACTGCCACCCAAGAATCCTCTACCCAGCAAAGCTGTCAATCAAATACGATGGTGTAATCAAAACATTCCAGAATAAACAGAAGCTAAGGGATTTTGCCATCGCCAACTCTGCTATGAAAAACATCCTAAAGGAAGTTCTGTGGACTGAGAACCAACAAGAACAGACAACAACTAGAGAATGACGTACATGGCAGCATCAACCTGAACTCAATTGACAAATGGAAGAGTCAAGAACAGAATAAAATTATAAGAACAGAGGATCTGGGAGGTCAGTCTATGATCAAAACAATTATAATGTGAAAGAAGGTAAACACAGAGGAACAGAGATCCAGGTGGTAAGAAGGTCAGGTAGATTACAGGATAAAATGTTGTTGTTGTTATGTGCCATTGAGTCGGTTCCGATGCATAGCGACCCTGTACAGGGTTTCCAAGGCTGTAAATCTTTACAGGAGCAGAAAGCCTCATCTTTCTCCCGTGAACAGCTGGTAGTTTTGAACTGCTGACCTTGCGGTTCGCAGCCCGATTCATAACCACTACACTACCAGAGCTCCAGGATAAAACAGACTGTCTTAAATGGACAGAAGAATTAATGGAATATAAGGTAACCACAACAGTAGGTCTGGGGTGAGGTTTAGTCCAGGTGTTGGGGAGGAAATACAAGAAGGGGGAGGAGGCGGAAGAACAAGATAGATAGGGGAACACTGAGACAGGCTTGCATGTCCTAAGTGGGACAGGTAAATAGTGATTTATGCTTGACCTTGGAACAACAGGGCTCAGTGATACAGGGATATAGGCATAGTTTGAAGAGGAGAAATAATACTAAAATGCTTGACTGTCTTATGAATATTGGTTTCCCCTACCTACTACTGTGAAATAAGACATCTGAGTGTGGTAGACAGGAATGTTGGGAAACATTACAGAAAACTTGTAAGCCCGTCTTCAGCCTATAACTAATTGGAATACCTAAAAGGGGTTCTACAACTTTCCCAGTGAAATAGGCCTCTTGCAAAGCCTTTGCAGAGTATAGGATCTTAGATGGAATCATGAGTCCTGTCCGGAACTTTATGAGAAAAGACAAGCAGACCAGCCTGGAACAGCTAGAGCAACAGAAGACAGATCTTCAAAGAAAGATCACCAGGAAAAACCCAAAACGACTGGCTGCTACAAGAATAAGCAAGCCGTTTGCTGGGAAGAAATCAAGTTCCTTCAGGACAAACTCTCCTCTAAGATTGAAACTCAAAGGGAACACATGAACAGGCATGTA